AAAGAAAACTATAAAAAACTACTTCAAGAAACATTAAAAAAAAAAAAAAAAAAAAAAGGTCAGTGAGATGTTTTATTCCACTCATTGCAGAACCGAAGGGAAAGACCATAAAACAGAGAAGCTTAGACACAAACCAACTCCCAATGGCACTGACAAGGGTATAAGGTCCACATATACAGCACAAAGAGGGCGAATCCCATGACTACAGTACTAAGATCTGTGTGTGTATAGCTGTCTGTCCTGTGGTAGAGCATATCTCCTGCCTTCAAGTTTCTGATTTGGATACCGTGAAGAAGCACTTTCAGAAGAAGGTCTAACTTCAGGTGCTTGAATAAAACCACAAAATATTGACCTCTTCTGCCACAAAGCACTCACTTACATTAGGGCAATTTAAAAGAAGGAGGTCTAGAATGTAAATGCAGTGCCTCAAAGATCTCTTAACAATTTTCTGCTTGGGTTTCTCCTATCTTTTGTAGGAAATGAAACCCACTCTTACAATAACTAAAATTTTTAAAGTACTGAAGGATACATTACTCTCAGCTGAGACTGAGGACAGTAAGTAAATACCTAAGAGACAACTTATTTCTCCTCTGCATCTCTCCTCTTCCTCTATAAACCCTGTTAGCACTGTGAGGCTGAGCAACAAAACAGAGATCTATTTGGCTCTTTGTATATCTGTTAGGGAATGGACCCTGCTCTGTATCTGTGGCATGACAGATTTTTAATCACTGAGCTTATTTGTGAACTGGGAATGACTTAAATTTAGGACTCTGCACTCTTTCCCTTTTTCTACAGTTTCTCTAGATTTTTTAGGTTTGAGATTTGAAGTCCCTAGGCCAAAAGGTTACCCACAGAACATTACTGCTGTCTTAGACTCACCTCAATTCTGGCATAAACAGCTATTAGAGAAGTTTTCTTCACGACAATTATCACCACTGATAACTCCTCAAAGGACAAAGATGGAACAGACAACCCCAAATAAACAAGCATCAGATACTTAACCTTCACAGTGCCATCAGAGGATGCACTGATAATATAATGTCCATCTTGTGTGAATGTTGCTTCATTAACAAAGGAGGAATGGCCACGAAATTCCTTCAGGGTTTTCCCAGATTTTAAGCCATGAATTCTATAACAAATGAAAAGAACAATTAATATTCCATAAATTATGGCTGAGACCAAGTGTTGAACATATTTTAGATGAATTATAAAAGCTCACATCATAATAGAGAACAAAGAGAGATATGCAATTGTGTATGCAAAGTAATTTTCATTATGTCAAACAATGAAACAAAATTAAAACCAAAATCTCTGCAAAGAAAGAGACTGGAAAATATGGCAATAATACCACAAGCTTCTATTCAAGGACTGATTCTAAAACATTTAGTTAACAGGAGTATGTATCATCCTGGCTGGATCTCAGGGATAAGTATTTGCAACAGGGATTCCAGGTGATTCTGATGTAGCTGGTCCAAAGATTATACTTTGGGAAACATGACACACTTCATAATCCCTTTCTAATCCCTCTTCTGGGTAGAAACTCAAACAAATGGATGGCAATGCCTCAACCATATTCAGACCAAGGAAATGAGGTCTCACATAACTCTTATTCTCCATATCAACTGTTCTGATAAAGCCATAAGGAATCACTAGTACCTCCCTCCTGGGCCTCATCATACCACACACAAGTGATGGGAGTTTCGGGATTCTTACTTACCTAATTGTCTGGTCAAAAGAGGCACTCAGAATCTGACTACTATCCTTAGAAAAGCTTAGACAGGTGACACCTTTACTGTGTGCCCTTTCAAATCTCCTTAAACACTGTCCACTCTGAATCTTCCATACCTTTATGGAAAAAAAATAACAACAACTTGTAAACAGAGTGTTCCCTATAGCCTGCAGAATCAAGCAAGTGGCACGTTCACTAATGTACTCAAACAGCATTAAAAATGTATGTTAATAGCTGAATATGATATATCTGCTTCACATAGTACAATGACAACTGAATCCTTTGAAATGTAAACCTTTTTCCTTGTAAATTATTAAAGCCATAATTTAGACTCTAAGTTCACTTAGCAGAGACCACTTTTGTATTTTATCTAGCTCAGGGAGTTTTACCAGCAATTAAATACAAACCACAGTTAATTAGCTGTAGACTACTGTCTAAAACAAATAAGGTACATTACATAAGGTGAACGAGGGTGGTACAAAAGAGAGGGAATAAGCAGATCTGGATTTAAATACCAGATCTCACTTACCAATTTAAACCAGCTGGGACCTTAAATAAGATTTGGGACATCTCCAGGAAATTATTAGTAGGATTAAACAAGAAAAAATAAAATGGTGACCATAAAGTTAATGCACAATAATCAAGAGCTCTTATTATGTGTAGGACACTACATTACGACAGAGGAACTTTCAAACTGTGCACATACAAGTGTTTGTGTCACTAATCCATACCTTGATTTTTCCATCTTGGGCCCCAGTTGCTAACATTTCTGTATCTCTGCTGAAACACATGCAGAGGACAGCATCATCCATCATCATAAAGTTGTCCTGGGCCTGGTACTTAAGATCCTAAACCAAACAATGGTAAGCAATTATTAAAATGACACTAGAGCCAAGGCCCCAGTTGTCTCAGGTCTCTACAAACTCACTAAAAGCAGGATAATGGATTTGACCAACTATGAATCTCCAAAGCAAATAGTAGTGCCATGTAAGCATGGTTCTTAATAAACAACTGATAATGGGAATAAATAACTTTATTTAATTCAAATTAACATTATAAAAAATACAAAAATACCCCAGATCTTTTGCTTTCTGATTCTTGTTTAATTTCCTTCTCATCTTTTCTAGGCAAAATTTCCCTATAATCCAGAGACTTCTGGTAAAATGGTAGAATAGGCAGACAAGCTACACAGACCCTCTTTAACAAAGAAAACAGAAACCAATTAACAAAGATAGAGAAGATAATCCTGAAGCCCTGAGCTCTGAAAGAAAAGATACAGAAGTGGATTAAACATCAACTAGTAGAAGAACCTGAATGAAAACAGTGAGTAAGGAGACAAACAGAGCTGCAGACTGTCACCTGTCCTGATGGCATGGACAGCTTGAATATTTCCAAGTGGTGTTAGGACCTTAGAAATTAACCTAAAAATCTGCCCTGCTCACCAAGGGCTACGTGGACTACTGCATGGGTAGTAGTCTGAAAAGGGACTGAAAAGGGAAAACAGCAAAGAAGGAGACAAACTGAGATGGGGACTTTTGGCTATCTGGAGGGCACAGCCATTTTGAATGTTTACAAGCACTGACCATTCTGGATATTTAAGTGACAGCACTGTTATTCAGATACCAAGGACCTAAGGATAGGCTCCACTTGTTAAAGACAGCAAGGACATACAGGAGGCTGACAACTGGAAAGGAGACAGGTGGTGAGTGCATAAGTGCGGCCAACTAATGAGTAGAGGAGCACAGTACCATGCGTACTCAATACATCTAAAAAAAATGTAAATATTGGGAAAATCACTCCAACATACAATCAACAATTAAATATAAACACAAAAACGTCACAATGTCTCAAAGACAACAGACCATCACAGTGCACACAAAGAAGCAAAATAAAGCAGTAGAAGCAAGGGACCAGGAAACAGACCCAGAACACATCCCTTAGGAAGAAGCAGCATTGAAACTCCCAGATAAGGAATTCAAAAGAATTATATTGAGGTGTCTTCAATGGATTGAGAGACAGATCAAGGAAAACACAGACAAAACAGGAAAACAGACAAAACTCTAGAATGATTTCAAAAGAGAATATAAGAACAAAATGACAAAGTAAAAAATTAGAAATGATACAAAATCTACAGATAGAAATCCAGGCGATTAATACAGAATTCTCAGAAATAGATAACACATTAAATGGGCAAAGGAGTAGAACTGAATCAATGGAAGACAGAATTAGCGAGACTAAAGACAAATGGTGACATAGTGCCTAAGGCATGTGGCTGCTAACCAGAAGGCTGGCAGTTCAAAACCACCAGCCACTCCTCAGAAGGAAGGTTGGGCAATCTACTTTTGTAGTGATACTGCCTCAGAAACCCAAGGAGGGGTCACTATGAGTCTGATCCGACTCAACGGCAGTGAGTTAGTGAGAAGATAAATACCTCAATACTTCTTTGGACAGGGATCAATCAGAAAAAAGATCAAAACAAAACAAAGAAAGCCTAAAGTTCATGTAGGATACCATCAAAAGGAATAATCTACGTGTAATCAGAATTCCAGAACAGGATATCACAAATAAAACCACAGAGAAAATTACTGAAGATTTGTTGGAAGAGAATTTCCCTGATATAATGAAAAACAAGAATATATCCATTCAAGAAGTACAACGAACCTCAAACAAGATAGACCCTACAAGGAAATCACCAAGACACATCATTGTTAAACTCACCAAAATCAAAGACAAAGAAAGAATCCTGACAGCAGCACAGGAAAAAATGAAAAGTTACCTACAAAGGGCAACCAAAAGACTTAAGTTCTGATTTCTCAGCAGAAACCATGCAGGTGAGAAGACAATGGGATGGTATATATAAAACCTTAAAAGAAAACAAATTCCAACCAAGAATCATATACTTGGCAAAACTATCCCTCAAATATGATGGTGAAATTAGGACATTTCCAGATAAGCAGTAATTAAGGGGGTAAAACCAGACCAACCTTACAAGAGATGTTAAAGGGAGTCCTGTGGACAGAGAACCAACAACAGCTAACAACAATTGACCATTAACATACATGATGACATAACCCAGAAACCAACCCAATTATGGAAGTATCCAAAGCAAATAAGCTTACAAGATTGTAAACAGGGAACCAGAGACATCAACTGGCAAATGAGGACAACTACAAACCAAAAAGAGGGGAAAACCTACAAACCAAAAAGAGGGGAAAAACTGTGTTACAGAACTTGTAAATGGTGAGAAAGCCAAGACAATTCCAAGATAGAACAGACTGTTCTAACCTTGGGAAGGAAATTATAATTCACAGGATAACAACCTCAAAGAAAACAGATGAACCTTCACATCAAAATAAAAAAGAGGACAATCACAAATATTTAGCAACAAAGGAAGTGATAACAAGATTCATAAATAAAACGAGTTCAGCACAGAAAATTATATGGAACAAAGAAATCAGCAACACCACAAAAAAGCACATAACAAAATGACAAGAACAAATTCATACTTATCAATAATTACACTGAATGTCAATGGATTAAATGCACTACTCAAGAGACAAGAGGTGCAGACTGGATAAGAAAACACAACCCATTAATATGTTATCTACAAAAGACACACCTTAGAAAGACAAAAACAGACTAAAAATCAAAGGTTTTAGAAAAAGATACATCAAGCAGATGGTAACCATAAAAGACAGGAGTGGCAATATTAGTTTCTGATAAAATTGACTTTAAGACAAAAACCACCACAAGAGACAAGGAAGGACATTATATAATGATTAAAGGATAGCTTGAACAAGAGGACATAATCATAATAAGTATCTATGCACCCAATGAAAAAGCCCCAAAATACACAAACCAGACTTTAACAGAATTGAAAAGACAGATGACTCCACAGTCATAGTAGGAGATTTTAATATACCACTTTCAATCACAAATAGAACAACTAGAAAAAAACTCAACAAAGATACAGAAAAACTAAACAATATAATTTACCAACTTGACTTTATAGACCATATGTTAGGCCACAAAGCAAGCCTCAATAAATTTAAAAACACTGAAATACTACAAACATCTTCTCAGATCACAATGCTGTAAAATTAGAAATCAACAACAGGAAGATCAACAAAAAAACAGCAAACACATGGAAACTGAGTAACACCTTCCTTGAAAATGGGTAATAGAAAAATAAAAAATGAAATTAAAAACTTTTGAATCAAACGAGAATGGCAACACAACATACCAAAATCTTTGAGACACAGCAAAAGCAATGATGAGGGCAATTTGTAGCAATAAATGCACACATCAAAAAGAAGAGCCAAAATCAGCACATTAAACCAACATCTCCAACAATTAGAAACAGAGCAGCAAAAAAAGCCTACATCACCAGAAAAAAAGAAATAATAAAGATTTAAGCAGAAATAAATGAAACAAAATAGAAAGACAACAGAAAAAATCAACAAGACTGGAAGCTAGTTTTTTGAAAAGATTAACAAAACTGACAAACGACTGGCAAATCTAACAAAGGAAAAGCGGGAGAGAATACAAATAACAAATAAGAAAAAAACCGGGCAAAACAGAACTACAGAACCAACAAATTAAAAGAATACTATCAGGATACTATGAAGAACTACACACCCACAAATTTGAAAATCCAGAAGAAATGAATAGATTTCTAGAAACATACTACTTACCTAAACTAACATAGACTGAGGTGGAAAAGCTGAACAGACTTATAACAAAAGAAGAAATTCAACAGGTCATAAAAAAATTACCAACATAAAGAAGCCCTGGCCCATACGATTTCACTGGCAAATTCTATCAAATGTTCAGAGAAGAACTGACACCAATCCTACTCAAACTATTGCAGAACATAGAATAGGATGGAATCCTCCCAAATTCATTTTATGAGGCAGATATAACCTTGATACCAAAACAAGGCAAAGATATCACTAAAAAGGAAAACTACAGACCAATATCCCTCATGACTATAGATGCAAAATCTTAAAAAAATCCTCACCAATAGACTCCAACAACATATCAAAAAAATAACACATTACAACCAAGTGGGGGTTCATACCAGGTATGCAAGAATGGTTCAACATTAGAAAAACAATCAACATCATCCATCACATACATAAAACAAGGAAAAGAACCACATGATCACATCAATTGACACAGAAAAGGCATCTGATAAAATCCAACACCCATTCCTGATAAGAGCTCTCAGCAAAATAGGAATAGAATGGACATTCCTCAATATAATAAAGGGCATATATGTAAAACCAGAGGCTGGTGGTTCAAATCCACCAGCCACTCCTTGGAAGGAAGGTTGGGCAATCTACTTCTGCAGTGTACTGCCTTGGAAACCCAAGGAGGGGTCACTATGAGTCAGGTCTGACTCGATGGCACATAACAACAACAACAACAACAACATGCAAAACCAACAGCCAACATTATTCTCAATGGAGAGAGACTGAAACCATTCATTCCCCTTGAGAATAGGAACCAAACAAGGATGCCCTCTATCACTACTTCTATTCAACATGGTATTGGAAGTCCTAGCCAGGGCAATAAGGCAACAAAGGAAAACCAAAGGCATCCAAATTGGTAATGAAGAAGTACAACTATCCCTCTTTGCTGATGATACGATCCTATACGTAAAAAAACCAAGAAACTCAGGAAAAAAAAAACAAAAACAAAAAAAACACTATTGGAACTAATTGAGAGATTTAGCATAGTTGCAGGATACAAGATCAACATATAAAAAGAAGTTGGATTCCTCTACACCAGCAAAGAGATTGCTGAAAAGGAAATAAGGTAATCAGTACCATTTACAATAACAGCT